ATATATATATATAGATTTAAAAATAATTTTATTTGTATTTTTTTTTTAAATATAAATTTATTTGTATCTCTACTAATAATTATGTAGGAAACTCAAGTATAATAAATACTATTGCAAACATTTTATTATTCTAGTAACAGCTTCACTATAACTTAGATATAAAAGGAGCAATAGTAAATCAATTCCGGAAACTTTCTGACTCATTCATTTTTTTTCTAATTATTTTATCATTATATATTCGATTATTTGAATTAAAACTTTTAGTGAAACAAATACTTCTAAAACTAATAAAATAAACTATACGAAAAGGACTTTTGCTGAGTATCTAAAAATTTAGTTAAATATAGAAGTTTGAAAATAAATTTTATTGGACCATCAAAGTAATTATTATATGTAGAATGTTTAAACAGGTTGCTAAACGTTAAAACTTTTTGCAGTCATTAAAGTTTAAGATCTAACAAAATTATTTTCAGATTTGTATCTATAGCTAAATAATGAAATACATTAGTAAAACTGTTCTTTTTGTGTACATAAGTGATTTTAATTTAATCCGTTTCTGTAGTCATTCTAGTATCTAGAAAAGAACTTCTCGCAATATAAAATTTCTGCACGAAAGTTTTTGAAATCTTAAGTGTTTGAAAAATTCAAAGGATTCTATAAATCCATAATAGGAATATTAGAGATATTTTATATTTTATTTTGCGTTAATGCGAATTGTATAGCTTACTCTCTCTTTTCTCGTTTGCTCGTTGTTTACAGCTTACAAACAACCTAATTAGTCATGTAATGACATACATTCAATACAATGGGTACTATCTGCCTACAATAAAATGAGCAGATAATTCATTCACGCGACGAGGCGATCGTGCGATTTCTGAAAGCATGCACAACTTAATGCGCGTTCGATACGCGCACCTAAGGTTATATTTTACATAATCAGAAAGGGTACATAAAATATATGCGTACATTGTGGTCAAGGGAATCACGGTACGTTTCGTTTAGTTATGCACAGTGGACTTGATCGAATTCGAGGGAGGCGTGTTTGCAATCATAATAATAAGCGTGGACACGCGTAGCAAAACGTTTCGTACATCGTGCGTGCCGCGGAACGAAAAACCTGAAACGGTAAAATTTAAACTTGAAACTTGACACTGAGTTTTCCAATTGAATCGTGACAATGAAAGAAAAGGTAATAGCAAATGAGAGGGTCGGAATTGTGTGATGAAATATGACGTTAAAACTAGTTTTCAGACAATCTGTAATTCGTATTGAAAGTCAGGATAAAATTTTATTTATATTTATGATAATTGAATTCCAGTATAATTTCATTATAATTTTAGGCTTTGAAAAATTAAAGAGAATACATACATATATATAAGGTGTTCTAAAATTCGTGATTTAAAATACTATAATAAGATAAAGTTTCCAAAAGATTAAGTAAAAAAAAAAGATTATTTGTAAATTTTTATTTTAAGCAATAGTGATATGTCAAATGTAAGAGATCTAAGATATTTTTAATATGGCCAATTACGAACTACGTTTAGATGATCACTTATATTCTCCAAATTTCTTAGAGTAAAATCTCTCATTCCGAAGGAGTAATTGAACTGCTACTATTGAAAAAGAGAATAACAATATTTGCATTCTTAAATCAGAGTGATAGATTTTAAAAGAGTGAAATCTTACCCCAAAATACTGAAAATTTTCCACTTATTTTATCTTATTCTATTAAGAAACATAATAGCAAAAAGAGGTATCGCTATTAAGTTACATAATTATGTTTGTATTTCCGTTACACTTTTCTTCATGAATAGTAATAACACACATAGGATGCTTTATATTTAAAAAAATAAATAGTTAAAAAAAATATTTCTGATATTTCCCCTCCCGCCGATGAATTCTATCACACAACGTTTTTTTCATCTATGATATAGAAATTTATTAAAAACAATCATTGTTCTTTTCACTACAAAACACGCAACATGCATTAATTGATCTAGTTAAAATTCAGTAGTGTTCGCGTAATCAATGAGCGATATCAACAATATACGTAATAGAATAAGCGGATAAAGTACGATACCATTTAAATTTTTGGTGATCTGGAGTCATATCGATTGATTTATAATTCTTCTCATATACAATGTTTTGCAAAAAAAATAAAGATCTTATACAATGCCAAATATGTATTTTTCTTCGTTTTCCTGATTTTTACATTTCCTGATGTTTACATTATATGACACGTGAAACGATGCAATTTACAATCACTTATTTTCATACGATTCCCGAAGACGCGTCAAAGCACATAAAAAAGGTAAGCGGTTGCTGAAATTTAAGACAATCAGATATTGTATAAACGCTGTGATAAACGATGATTTACTGCCGAGGTGATTTCGGCGCACTGAATTTTCGGTATCGAAACTTTCTACGATTGTTACATCATACCGGACGCCGTCGCGACAAGACGCGCGAATGATATTTGTCGCTGCGTTCCAATGTATATTCAAAAACACACTATTTAAAAGATCTAATTATCATGACTGAATAGAAGGTATAATTATCAATCGCAAACTTATAACGAAGCTTCGGTTTATCGCTAACCAAGTTTCACACCTAATTTATTTACAGATATACATTTGTTTGCACAACATAAAAATAAAAAGATTTATTTGCTAATCGTTTCTAACTTAATGTTTTCACTCAGTGCTGATTTGTTAGTTTATTCATGTTAATTAATTGCATATTTCGAAAAAGAGATTATTATATTCCTTCGACAAAGAGTTCGTAACATGGAAAGGATATTTTTGCTAATGTATCTAAAAATTTAGATAGATACAAACCTGAAAATAATTTTTTGGACTATCAAAATAATTATGCAAAAAATTCAAGTTTGATGAGTAATATTGCAAAAAGTTTTGACATTCTAGCAAACAGTTTAAGTGGTCTGCATAATTATTTTGATGATCCAACAAATTATTTTCAGATGACTAAAATTTTTAACTTTACCTAATTTTTAAATAAATACTTTACGTTGAAAAAATGTGTTAAGTTTTAATAAATATTTGTTTAAATAATACTAATTAAATATTTACTAAATGTAAATTTCGTTTGAAAAATATATATTTATTTATGTAATACACAAGAATCATTAATTTGATTTAAGTATCACTTTCTATTAAAAATAAATATTTATTTATTATCAGTAAAAATATTTAGTTAGTACTGTTCAAACAAATATTAAAATTTAGTACATTTTTTTCAGTGTTCAGCAAAATCGACCGTATATGTTTTCTCTTTTACTTGGTTTGCTAAAACATTGCAAGTAATCCCGAAAAAAAATACTGAAAAATTTCGTATCTCTTTGATATCGCGATCTGTGGAATTGTTGTCAACGCATATCGGATTTTAATCGCGAGGAAGCGTCGGGGAACATTCACGAGAAGACGAGAGGTCTGGAGAGTATGCAAAAAGATTTTCCACCAATATTCTGTATCGACGGCACCGACGGCAGAGCACAGTCTTGATTCCTCCACTTTAAAACGGGCCAATCTCGCATCCCATCGTTATCGCTGAAACGACTGCGAACCCGTGGGGCACACCCGGTATAACGAAGTCGCGACAGTTGCGGACCTTCCGTTCAAGTCACATCGCGCGCAGCTCTTTAGTACACGCGTACGCACGCACATATGCACACGCGCGCGCGTGGCGTGTCTCGCCTTCGGGGTCTCCTTTTCCTCTCGACAAGCTGGAATTGTTGAATTCACGTCGGTGACAGTGCGACTTCGGAGGGACCAGAGGTAACGTGATTCGATTTTTAAACCGATCGCCTAGTCGTATCGCAAAAATGAAGGCCAAAAAGTGCGTTTGAATGTTTTTCGATGAAAGGCACATCATCTGACACGAGTCACTCACAGCACCTGGTGCTTAACGCATTTTTCTGCTGTAGAAGAGTGATGAGTGATTCTTGTCCATTGATATCCATCCTTTTTAGATTAAAGAAAAGATGATGGCTGGACCACGTGGAACGTGGTTTACACAAGCAGTTCCCGCGCTGATCAGGATGCGCAAGCGCACGTGACGAACGCGCCTCCGCGTGTAAACACGTGAATTTCTTTTTCCGCCGGTGAATCTCGACCGCGAAAAATCGATGATGGAAAAGCGACATTTCAGTGTTATTAATTATGCGACATACTCGCCGATTGCGTCGACAGGCGCGAATGTGTTTCTGCACAATTTCTTATTAAACTCAACAGCGATCGGTTATCTGTGTTATTGCAAAATGCATGATCTAATTAGTGACAAGAAACACTTATATTCAAATACCCTATTTAGTGTCTATTGCTATATTTGGGTAACTTTTATGGAGCGAGGAAATACATGAGACTGAGAATAGAGCATTTTTTATGTCATCGGTGTTAGACCGAGTGGTGGGAAAAGTCAATGTCGTCATCGGAAAGGTTATGCTTTGACATCTAAGATCTTCAGGCAGAATTTTTTAAATTTCATTAATATTGATCTATTTTAAACTGCTTCCTCCGCGCTTTTATGACTGTTAGATAAAAATGTAAGGTATTAATAACTAATATTTGCGAATTTTAGATTATTTACTGGCTGGATTCGACACGTGATTCTCTATATAGCAATAAAAAGATATTTTTCTCAAACGCTTCCCACTCTTTTCCGTAGGAAATTTTATAACATACTTTATTAATCATTTTTAATTGGTCCAGAGATTTCTCCTTTAACAAGAAAACAAATAAAGCACCTTCACGTTGATATGATAAATGGTTTTAAAAAATTTCCGAATACTAAATCGTGTCAAGAGTGATTAATGATATCGCAAGAAGTAATTATTACATTGTATATTTATCTGGTGACGAAGTTTATCAATGCAGTTATCAATTAACATATAATATATCTGTGCTACTGTATATTGTGAAAGTGTGATCTGCTCTCTATAGTTATTTTTAGAGCCAAAGTATTTTTATACCAAAGCATGGCGGTGCAACAGCTTGAGGATCTCGAGAATCTGATGCAGAGTTTACATTAGGGCGAATTTAAATACAATGCAATGAGATAAGATACAAATCGCGAAATTCTTTCTGTTCTATCATTTTAAAGAACCAATTTATTTAGATATAATTTTCTATATTGTTTTCTGTGAAAACTATCTTTATACACACATTGAAACTTTCATCATATTTTATTAAATATAACAATTTTCACGGATATATTAAAAATAAACAAATATCTCGCGAATGGAATTATTCAGTTACACGAATGGTTTACGAATGACCGTGAAAAAGTAATGATTTCAAGCGGAATTTTTTTTCGCAGGACGCAGGTGTCCAGTCGAAGGTTTCATGAATTTGAAATGCGTTCTCGCGTCCTCGCAGGTGTTTCTTTAATACTGTAGACTGTAGAGCTTGATTGGAATGTCGAAACGCAAGATAGTCACCAAGGAATTATGAAGACTGTAGACACTTAATATAGTAAGGAGATATATGTCATCTGATTCCTTCTCCGGAATAAATGAGAATTTAAAATCAATTTTTTTCTTATATCTCTCTCTCAGAGTCTCGATACGTGAGGAATTTGAAAATTAATTAGACTTGGAGTCTTTTATTTAATTGATGTTACTTTTGCACGTACCTGATAATTCTGTTGCACCATATGTTATTTTATTTCACATACATAACATACTTAAAAAGATACGAGGACTGAAAACAAAAACAAGATGCTAAATTTAGAGACGAATGAAGTTCTCATAAAGACTCCAGACGATATAGCCAATGTTCATCAATATTGGTAAATATTACACACATATATGACATGCATAATTATTCATATGGAGGTAAGCCAATATTATTTAGCGAATGTGTGCAACGTTAGCTGCATACATATTGACCATGTTATCTGGAACCGTCCTTAAAACATCTGTGTGTATTTATTTAATCATAAATTCTTTTTTAATAATTAACACTAATTTTTTTGTATTGAAATTTTTGTATTATATTAATAAAATTTTGATATATTTATAATAATAAATATATCATAAATATAATAATAAATATCAAAATACGAAAATAAATGCAGAATGACACAACTTTGTTCTGTAGTTTTTATGAAAAATAAAGTCAGTTCCGATTTATATTTCAAAAATTGCATACTCATATACATATTATAAATATAATCGTATATACAATTCATTGATATGTTTGTAATATTCCAAAATGCATTTTTATACGTTAAAAATTAAAAAAAAAACTCTTATATACATACATGAAATTATTTCTAGATTGTATACAATCATTGAATAAATAACATGATGTATTTTTTTTATGTAATCGCACAAAAATTTCCCGTTTTTCTCTGAATAATAAAAAATCTCTTATTCAATATTAAATTATTAACTTGTTTAAAAATGAGAAAGAATGAAGAGGCCAATGGAAAGAGCAGCAATAAAATGTCAATGTATTAAAATGTATATATATTTAAATTATAACATTAAAGCAGAACGTGTTTTGACTTAACTGATTGTGAGTTTGTTTTGACTACTAATATAAAAATGTAGGTAATATTTTATTAAATACAATGTCTTAATTTTAATAATATATTTTAATATTATGACATCTCATTGTTGCTTGCACTATTGGATTTTCTTATCTTTATTTTTAATATGAATTAACACATAATTATTATTAATTAATTTAACGTTGATTACTACTAATGTGTCAGTTGCGTCCAAAAAAGTGAGTTTAAAATTATTTATATATATAAATTGATAGATTTATTTGATAAATCTCTTTAAAACTAAGAGCAAATTCAATTGGATGTACTCAGTACGCATTGGTGCACAAAGCGTCGTATATAAATTTACGTAGAGATAGGTATTTAATATAAATATAGAAATCGATTAAATTGTAGAATCCTTAATATACTTTATTGTGCTGTTAGATAAACAAATATGTATTTTATGATTCGAAATATTGTATTTCATTTTTACACTTACATTAAATTAGTGTACAACAGTTTAATGTGTTTAATGTGCATCGGTGCGTCTAACTGTGCAAATTTGCTATAAATCTCAAATTTCGAATTGTTAAAGAGCGTGCATCGTTTACGAGCTGCATGAAAAAAGCTGCAGACTGTAACAATGTGACGCATTTGTTATTCCACTGCATCATCAAAACACTATAAAGTTTTCGTCTAATCTGTATATTCGGAAAAATCTTTGATATGTGTGTGTGTGTGTGTGTGTGTGTGTGTGTGTGTGTGTGTGTGTGTGTGTGTGTGTGTGTGTGTGTGTGTGTGCGTGTGCGTGAGTGAAATTCATCATCAGTGAGAAACAAAGACCAGAAATGGTACGGTGGATAACGGCGTGAGAAACGCGGTTTATTGGCCTGTTTTGCGACTATTTTTGTAACATTTTAATCCGTCTTTTTGACGTGCATTATCACGAGACACGTATACTACCAGCAGATAAATGTAGATCAAAAATGTAAAATAAGTTTTCATAAACTCTGACCTTTAACTACATGGTTCGATATTTTTTACATCGATGGTAAGATTCAAAAATATAATGTCAAATAAGTTCAAAGTGTCAACGAGCTGTAATCCTACTCTTGAGAAAAATGAAAGTGACGTTTTATTTATTTTCGATAATTTTCTATATTAAAAGACTAAATTGTGAACAGATACAACAGCGTTATTATCGAAATTTTATCATTTCATTTTGCTCTCTTCTTATTATCTATCATTCCGCTGTTTCTTACGTATCATTCACAATGCAATACGAATCAATGAAATTTCGATTAACTAACCAATTCGGAGTAATTTTCGACGGTACGATGAAAAATACATTAGCAGAATTTAAAGACCTAACATGAGATAGATAAAAACCGCAGCGCTTCCGAGTTATTATTAACATATCTATTTAGGAAATGTGATTGAAATCTTTTGCAGACGAGTAAAATAATCAATGTTATACAACCTTCATGTTTTTTTTATTTTAGTATGAAATTGTCATATATTTCCATAATGCATCCAGCGTCAAAATTTGTCCGATCATGAAATTTGAAATTCTTCCCAAAACTTCAGAAAAGAATTTCGCAATAGAACCCTCGTAACATCGAGATATAATCGTAGAATTATCGTCGATAATTTACTGACCACCCGCAAAGAATCTATCTCAATTGACTAGACTTTTGTAATACAATAATATTTGCGAAATTCCGGAGAACGATTAGAACGTCGTTTTCGCGATAATTATGTTATTGCAAATATGCGGCGACAGCGTCGACATGTAAATATCAATGTTTATCGGTATGCGATTGAGCGAACGGAAATCGGATTTTTGCTATCTTTACATATCGTCACGTTTGCACGCGGAAAAATTCAGCGAGTGAAGGTGCGGAATAACAATAATGCGGAAAGAGTCAGACCGTGGAAGGCAGAAATATCTTTTATCGTTGTAGAGTCGTTTGCTATACCTGAAGGGGACAATTCCTAGTGTGTATTATCCATTAAAAAACATATTTTATGATAACCCGTAAATGAGCAGTTTAGATATATCGCGGATATTTAGGAAAAACAATTCACTTCATTTCCAATTTTCCCAACACTCAATTTTTAATGAAAAATCTTGTGAAAATCTATAGGGTCATAAGTTAGCTTGCGGTGAGTAAATACCTTAAACATTAATAATAAGGCATTGCTTACAAATGCTATTTGTGACATTTCGCGGTAAAAAAGTAATTCTCGTTATTTCTTTCTTAAATAAGTATTGAAATATCTC